ACTTTCCTTAAGAATATCTAGAAAACCTAAACTGTATAAATATCACGGGAAAGAACAGAAGTGTGTCTAAAGGCTCTTGCCCTGGTCTCAAACCTTAGGTCTAAGGGATTCAGTGTCCAGCAACATCGTGAGACACTCATCCCAGCTTAATGGTCCCACAGAAGCTTCATTGAGATTTTGGAGGATGGAGGACTTGGAGGAAATTGAACTCCCACTGCGTAAAAGAACAAGAAGAGAAAGAGGAACGGTCAACAGAATGGTCCCATAGGTCCTCTAGAAAAACAGATGCAAATGTCGTTTATAGCTACCGGTGGTCTGCTCCTCTAACAGTGGCAGTCAGGTGGGTCCCAAGAGAAACGGAGAGACCCCAAGAAGTTGCTGCATTTTCTAGCCCTTCCTTGCAGTGAGAAAAGCTTGGTGCAAATGATTTAAAATAGTAAAAGATTGATTCTGCGCTGCGGTTTCCGAGGCTTCAGTCCATGGTTGGTGTTTCACTGCTGTGGGCCTATGGCAAGGGTGAGCAGACATGTGACAGAGAAATTCCTCACATGTGATATCAGGCCAGTAAGCAGATGGAGGAGAAATACTGGGAGGGGCGGGTACACCCTCCCGGTGGGTACACCCTCCCTAGGCATGTTTGCAGGGGTTACTTCCTCCAATTGGGGCTCAATTCCTCTTTTCCATCACTTCCCAATAATATCATCAGGGAATCAATTTACTAATGGATCGATTTACCAATGATGCCAGAGATATTATATCACAATGCCTTCTTGGTGGTGGGATCCTCAAAATGAGGACCAAGGTTTCTGCATGCGAATCCTTCTCGGGACACATCATATCCAAACCACGGTGCAACTGAGGCTCAGGAAACCTTAGGCATCCTCACCCGGAAAAGTCATGGTTAACACCATGTTCTCTAAGCCACCATCACTACATTTCCTATGCATCCATGGTATGGGTCAATAAGCCTTTGCTTCCCATTGGTCACACCTCCCTATGGTGAAAGCACCTCCCACTAACAAGTCTTCAACGCTTGTGTGCCTATGGGAGGGGGTTATCGATATCTACTACAGTGTTGAGTTTATCAGGAGTTCTAAGAAGAATTCTAAAAATATCTCCTTTCTCAATTGACTATTCCAGCAGCTTCCATCTCAGGGCTCGAAGGTAAAGAGCATGTGTAGAGGGCTAGGACGGAGCTGGCTTCAGCGAGTTACATCCTGCTGGAAGTGGACATTCGCAGAACCAGGACACGACTGGGCGAAAACCGAGGATGCTGTATCTGGGGAAAGTCTCCCTGTTTGTTGTTGCTCTGAGAGATTCGAGCAGAGCACCTGTCACATAACACACCTCATACGTGTGATTCCTCCTTGGTGATCAATATCACTCCTATGTTGCCAGCTGGGGTCTTGTGTGAGGCCTGCAGAGACGCTCTGGTTTGCAGTTGCAATGGGTATAGCAAGTCTGCCACTTGGGACACATTTAGACTGTGTTAAAAATGGAGGTAGCCACCCCACTTATCAGAGTGTCGGTGGTGGAGGAAGCATGAATGAGCACAGGCCAGGCTAGTGGATGCTATGCAGAGTTACCTCTGCTTTCCTCCCGGGAACTTACAAACTTCTTGTTCAGACGGGAAGTACTTTTCTCATCTTATTTGATAAACTTGTAATTTTTCTGATTCCTTTTGTGCTGAAAAAAAAAACATATCTAACTACTCATTTCTTATACTCCTAAAAATATAATTCCAAGTTTTTTAAAAAAATATATAACTTTTCTGGCATTTTGGGTTTTTTTCTGACTTGATTCAACTGATTCCTTTCATGTTAGCAGTCCTGAAACACTTGGAAACTCCTGATTATATGGGAGTTATAGGATGGGGCTGGAGAAATAGCTCAGCAGTTAAGAGTACTGGTTGCTGTTGGAGGACCTGGGTTCAATTACCCCATCCACATGGCTGCTAACAAGCATCTGTAACTCCAGTTACAGAGGATCCACACCCTCTTCTGGCCTCCACAGGCGCTGAATACATATTTGGCTCATGGTATACATGCGGGCAAAACACCCATTAACATAAGACAAAAATATTTTTAAAATTTGAGTTATTAAAAAATTGAAATTTTAAGATATTAAATTAGAAACAACACCAGACATGAGAGAATAAGTATTGTATTGTCTCACTTGTATAAGTGCCCAGGATGATAACATTCCTAGACACATAATGAGTTAATAGGTTATGAGGGCCTGAGATGAGAGAGAAATGTAGTGTTACCTAATACCACAGATGTGGATTGTAATCATGAAAAACATCTGGAGATAGACACTGGCAATATGAGTGTACTTAATAGCATGAAGTTGAAAAATAAAACCTATTTACTATAGTAAATTTCATGTCACACATATTAAAGTATAGGACTCCTCATCCACCTAGTTGAAGACTGATTCTGTACACCCAGGCACAGCATAGATGGCTGTGCAACCTGCACAGCTTTGGACCTGACCTGACTGGGGCCATTACTGGAAGTGAACAAAGGACAGAAACAAGTCTAGACAATCTGGGATCAGGTGGCCATGCACACTGACGAAGACACGCCAACCAGCGGAAACTCAAGTGCATTGATTTTATAATATGGCGTGAAGGAAAAGGCAGGTAAGCTAATCTCAGTGAGAGGTCTCTGCAGGGGAGCAGTATCAGGTTGGCGACATCTGGATGAGGAAGCCGTGCGTGGTAGTTTCTGTACACACTGGTTTTAGATAAAGGTCAACAATTTATCATCATCCATACTTGGGCCAAGTGAAGGCCTTGCCATTCCCCTGGGTCTGAAGTACTGGTGTCCTTGCCATGGCCACGCTCATGTCAACGAGGCGCGTTCACCCAGGACTTCATCCCCTCCACACAGGCACTGACCTTAGCCTAAGTAATTTTGGATGGGCTTTTGTAATCCCGTGGTATTCATACACTTTAGGGTTTCTGCCTATTCTTAGGATAATTTATCTTATATTTTTCAAGTTGCCAAATAACTTCTTACATAGATATAAGCAAAGCTCTTAAATTTCCTTTTCTGTTCCCAAGCATATTATTTCACAACTTCTGAGTTGGATTTTGCCATCCTTGTTAATAAAATGTTTTCAAAAGGAAAATGACCTGTATTTTTTTAAAACTATGTAGCAAGAGTTTTACTGTCCTTCTCCAGAATCAGTCTGTCTTATTCTCCATTTGTGTTTCTATCCTTCCAACTGCTCCCTTCTCTTTTCCTTCTCCACCAGTATATTGAATGTTTGGATTTAAATTTTCATTTCAATGTATACTCTTCTGGTATGTATAGCATAATTGCATGGCATCTGTGACCCTCAACTTCCTGGGTTTTGTTCACAGACATTATTCCTGAGTTTCATCTGCATTTCATAAAGAGATTATCAAGATATTTGTTCTTAATTCCTAAATATGATCAAAGTTTTCAGATCCTGTCCTTATTACCTTTGACTGAAGAAGTTCCTGGATTTCTCTAAAACAAATAAGAGACATGGGAGGGGAGACAGGGTTGAGTGGACACAGTAAGCAATCACTGGTCTCCCGAGGGAAACAGTTACTTCCCTCTCTAAGAAGTCAGAGTGGCTCAGTGCAACTCAAGCATTTTATTTAAACGTTACATTTATTTTATGCATTTTCTTTTTGTAAGGGCCTAGTTTGGCTTTTTCTTTGCCTCTTCCATACAGTACTACCCAGAATGTTGGGTGGGACGGCTGGAAATATGTTTCAAGTAGACTTCCTCCCCGAACTACAGCCATATGGTGGAGTATGAAGCGGAACACGCTGCAGGGATGTTCTCTTCCCCCAAGAGCATGTCCGCAGTCCTGTCCTTTGGAAGGTGTGTCTGAGTCACCAAAGCTGTCCTTCTAAACAAGAAGGCAAGCCTTCCATCTTGTCTCAGGATGCCAGTGGCATCACCGGTGGCAAAGTGTTCACCACAAGCCCACTACTAGGGCAGCTGGATAACGTTCCTGTCGGAGCTTTCTGAATTAAAATACTGGGGTTTATTCTTTGTTGGATTCCATGACGTACATTCAGTAAGGAAAGCGATACTCTTTCTCATTTGTCCAATAGTGATTCCTGTCACCATTCATACTTTCCCCTTTCAAATGCCCCTGCACTTCACCTTGCCTTCCAGATACACCGCAAGCTCATTCCACTGCACACACGGACTACCTAAAATGCCACCGCTAGCAAACCATCACAACCATGGCGGTCTTGTCTTACCAAAGTTAGCAGAGCAAACTAATCATAAAAGCAAGCACCCATATCTCCCTTAGATAAATATAGACATTGGCACATCAACGTTTATAGTTATATAGCTCAGAGCTACTTTTGGGCATTGATGTTCCCTGATTATTTTTTTTTCCAGAGCCGAGGTTTGAATCAAGAGCCTCACACGTGACAGGCAAGTGGTCTACCACATAGCTACAGCTTCAATCTCTCCATTTATTCTTCAAACTTTCTATTAGAGGTTTCCTCTTATTCAACTCTTTCTATGTTGTTCTACACATGTGAATGCTTCTTTGTATGTAAATGAGAAGCTCTGTAAAACTCCATGTAAAACAAGTAGCTTCGTGGGCTTCTTGAGATAGCATGCTAAACAATGCCAGAATGGAAAGAACACCACTACACTGTCACTAGGAAAATTTGGTTTGGCCCTGGCTACCTTCAGAGCATGAAAAACTCTAGTCTGGATTTTGTTTGAAAATGCAAAGAGTGTGTGATAAACTCAGAGGGTTGATAAATATTTGCTGAGGCTATGACAGAGAAAACATTGCGTCCCTGCACTAAACCCCTGGGAACATTACCAATGTCCCCAACTGTGCCGAGGGGAGGAAGTTGACATTTAGAGATAATAAAAAAGGGGGGGCAGCATCTTTTGTAGCCTCAGCCACATCAGTGGTGCACCCAGCTAAAGAAGATATAAATGAGCAACTCAGCTCATTTCTCAGTGAAGGCACTTCCTGACAAGATGAAGTCCTCAGTCTTCATCCTCTCTCTGCTCCTCATTCTGGAAAGACAGGACGCTGTGGTTGGGCAGTATGGTGAGTATAGAGATGGTAGCTAGAGAGAAAGTCACTCAGGGAGAGTCTCCTTCATGGAGTGGGCAATTCCTTCCATAGGGCAATCTTTTTGATGAGACTTAATTCTTCTCTACCCAAACCCAAATCCCTGTAGGAAACATCAACAGTTTTATGAGGCAATTTTTGGAATAAGACTCGGAATGAACTATGCAGATGATATAACAAACATTCTTATTATAAATTACCAGGAGGAACAAAAGGTGGCTTCACGAAAGGTGGCTTCACGAAAGGCGGCTTCACGAAAGGCGGCTTCACGAAAGGTGGCTTCACTAGTAGCTCATCGGGATTTATGAAAGGTCATGTCAGTTATGGGCTCAAAGGAGGCAGTGATGATGTAGCTGAAGAAAGTGTTTTCATGCAAACAAAACACCAAGTATATGGCCAGGATGGTGAAATGTCACAGTCGCGTCTTTCACAAGAACATACAGGAGTAAAGGGGGCTGCACTTTGTCGCAAAGGACAAGTGTCCCAACTAAAATCCCAAGAATCCCAAGTGAAATCCTATGGACAAGTAAACTCCCAGGAATCTCAACTGAAATCATCCTATGGACAACTAAAATCCCAAAACTCCCAAGTCAAATCCTATGGACAAGTGAAATCCTACGGACAAGTGAAATCCCATGAATCTCAACTGAAATCATCCTATGGACAACTAAAGTCTCAAAATTCCCAAGTGAAATCTTATGGCCAACTAAAATCCCAAGATTCCCAACTAAAATCCTATGGTCAACGAAAATCCTATGGTGAAGAATCCCAACTGAAATCCTACGGTCAACTAAAATCCCAAGAAGGCCAACTAAAATCCTATAGCCAAGTAAAATCTCAAGATACCCAACTAAAATCCTATAGCCAAGTAAAATCTCAAGATGCCCAACTAAAATCCTATGGTCAAGCAAAATCCCAAGATGCCCAACTAAAATCCTATGGTCAAGCAAAATCCCAAGATGCCCAACTAAAATCTTATGGCCAAGTAAAATCCCAAGACACCCAACTAAAATCTTTTGGCCAACAAAAATCCCTAAAAGGTTTTTCTCAACAAACTAAGCATAAAGGATTTGCTATGAATGAGGAGCTATCACAAGTACGTAAGCAATATAATGATGATGAGAGTTCTGTGCAACAAAAGTCTAGCCAGGTAAAAACAGAGGAAGATTTAGCCCAATTTGGACAACAACGCCAGTTTGGACAAGAACGCTCACAATCCTATAAAGGATATCTTGAACAGTACAAAAAGAAATCACAAGACCACTATCAACAAAGAAGAAATTTTAATCAAGATATCTATTTTACAAAGGGAGGGGCAGACCTATATCAAACTCAACTCAAGGGATAATGCAGTCATCGACCAACTAAAGCGCAAGATCAATATCAAGGTATGTTTGTACCAATAGGAGAGATATTTATCCTGATGCTTGCATGTGGTATATAAGGAAGCCCTGGGTCCATCATGGGATTGATACCCATTTGTTCCTATCAGTAGAAGTATTATGTTACAAATTTTGAGAAAGATAACGAGCATGCCCTGGAAAAATGAGTACTAGGTATGAGAAAAGCAGAGTAAACTACCCAGGTTAACAACGGGTACTGCACGCTGACATTAAGGAAGTATTTTTCAGGGTTTTTTTTAAAGCATATCAAATGTCTAAGTGAACATTCTTCCTTCACCAAGTGTTAAGAGAACACAATCAGATAGAAAATCTACCTTAAAAATAAACATCATGAAANAATATTTGTCTGTGTGTATGCCTGCAGGCCAGGAGAGGGCACCAGACAGATGGTTGTGAGCCACCATGTGGTTGCTGGGCATTGAACTCAGGACCTCTGGAAGAGCAGCCAGTGCTCTTAACCTCTGAGCCATCTTTCCAGCCCCACACAGATGGAGTTTATATTATTAAATATGTACCACCTATGAAATCATATTTAACATTTTATGATATAATCTTATTTTTTCTTATAATTTGACTTGGCAAAAATTGGTTTCTTGCTTATATTAACATAAGGTATTATTGCAGATCTTTCTCCACACTGGGGTGTTCTTGAGTCCCTGTTACCTCTGTTTTCCACCAGAACCACAGGGTTAAGGATTAGTTTTCTTTTCCATCAGACAGAAGATAGGATTACAAAGATCTCTGTTTGGGGCAGACACTGTCCTCAGTTGTCTGCCTAATGATGAGCCTGGTAGAGTCCACTGGACAGTCCCATGTTTGTGGTCATGTTAGTGGCCCTGGTTAGACTCAGCTGGTCATAAAACGAAACAAAAAGACATGATTGTGAGAAGGAGACTTGTGGGGAGAAGTGGGCTAATCAAGATGAACAGAAGAGAGAAGATGGCAGGATTGGCAGCAATCAGAATACACCGTACATGAGTACGAGAGTCTCCAAGAACAAAGTAAAAGGGTTTTTTCCTGTTGTTGTTCTCTTCTTAAATCTGTGTTTGTGATACAGGACGAGTTCAAAAGTGAACACAAGGTAGGAAGTATACAGAGGTCACTGCTAGACATTTGCAACCTTGGGAGTGCAGCCTGAGCCTGGGCAGAGAGACAGTGTTCACTACTCTGTTTGCATTAAGAAAGGGAGAGCAACAAAAGCCACGGACACACTTGAGGACCGTCGGAGTCATTAGCGGCTGAGCACCCTAATTTGTAGAAACTGGTTCTGGTAGAACTGAAAGAGGCCGACACCCATTCATAACTTCTGACTGCCCTTGTTTACCCCTTCTCTTTCTAGGACTCACCTCGCCAGAGTCAAGTCTGTGACGCCTTCCAGAAGCCGCCTGTAATATGGTCCCAGATCTCTGGTTCATGTACAACCTTCTCTTCACGTTTGCTCTCTGTATAACTTCTAACCACGGAGCGTCCTCAAATGCTTGCTTTCCAATAAAATGAGAACTTTCTGCATCACTTGCTTTGTTTACTGACGTCTGATTCCTGCTAATATCTGGGTTTGGGAACACTCCTGGTGGGCAGTTTCAAAAAGAAGAGACAACTGTGTAGCACTGGGGGAAAGAGCAATGAAATCCACATCTGTAGATGTCTGGGTCATAGAAAAAAAGCTACCAGAGCTGTGCCTGACACCCCGTGAGCCGCCTAAAGTCAACTTTAAAATCCCTCAAAACTTTTTCTAGCGGGTCTTCAGAAACTGACCACCAGAATTAAAAGTTCACTGGCCCAAAAAAGTTGGTTTCCAGTTGCAACTCTGTTATAGAAACATCGATTTTCAGGCTGGAGAGCTGGCTCAGCCATTAAAGGTTCAACTCACAATCAATATAAGAAATATATCAACTTTCAATTTAAATTGTTTTTCTCTCTGAGTTTAAGTCTACCATTTATATAGAGGAACATTTCCTCCGATTGCTTTAACTTTGTCAAATCAAGTAAGGCTTTAACACTTATATGGCCCCACAGCCAGGAAATGGACTGGCAGATCACTTACTAGTACATTTGATACTTAACGAAAAAAGTAGAAGGACACAGTGTTATTTAATAAGACTTGCCCCTGCTACCACAGCCACAGAGACATTTTCACTTGTATTCTGGAAGGTTTAGTCACTTCAATAGGCATTGGGGGAGGTTCCTTTGCTATAAATTTGAAGGGTTTGGGTATCTCTCTGGATAAAAACACAAGAATTCTGCTGAAGTCTTGAAGCAGAATGGATATAGGGAGCTAACATGTAGCGGAAACAATACCTCACTCAGACACAAAAGGCTATCAAATAAAAAGCCTTGTTCCAGGTATGGGTTATATCTTTTTGAGCCGTTAGCCACGGGGATGGCACCCCCAACATTGCAAGCTATTGCCATTGCTTCTAGTTACCTGTAGCGAGCTGCATGGTGTCACACCTGATGGAGATGTATAATCAACTCCTGAGATGGCTAAAGTCTGACCTATGCTATGATCACGCAATGATTATCAGCTGCCTGCATATGCGTGAACCTATGGGCAGTGCCCACCTGGCAGTTCAGGATTGGCAGCCCATGCCTACTTAAGGGCTGGGAGAGGTTTGCCCAGGGAGAGAGGTCAAAGAGAAAGAGAGAGAGAGGGAGAGAGAGAGAGGGGTCAAAGAGAGGAAAGAAGAGAGAGGGTAGAGGGGGGGAAGAGAGAGAAAGTGAATAAAGTCCTGTAAACTGCTGCAAGAAGAGCTCCGGGTGTTGCGTTTTCCTTGCTGGTCGAGGTGGGACGCAACAGTTACCCTTACCATAAAGTTAAAGTAAGACTCTACCACTGAAGACACTACATACCTGGGTCATAGGACACACAGAAATCAAGCTGAGACTGATCTGGAAGCTTCGTCCTATTGACTAGCTCTCACAGTGCTTACTAGGGAGGAAAAGTCATCAACACTGTTATACCTAGCTGTGAAACCTATGAACTAGAATAACAAAACTGGCCTGGTAAGATAAGGCTACTAGTGTAATGGTGGCACAAATGATCAGTCAATCACTTTCTGATTGAACTTGTGTCCCACCCACAAGATGTGAACCAATGCAGCCAAAAGAGCTGTGGAATGTTCATACTCATCCCGCATTTGTTCCATAATTTTATTACGAAAATACATTGATGTGGCATTCCCCTCTGGATGCTCTAAATATGTTTATCAATCACTGGTTAATAATATGCTTTGGGTTTATGGCAGTGCAGAATAGAGCAAGGCAAGAATTCCAAGCAGAGATAGAGAAGAAAAGAAAGTGGAGTCAGGGAGACGCCATGTAGCTGCTGAAGGAGACAGACTCCAGAACCTTACCGGTAAACCATGAGCCTTGTGGCAATACACAGAATAATAGAAATGGGTTAATTTAAGATGTAAGAGTTAGTTAATAAGAAGCCTAAGCTAAAGCTAATAGGTCAAGCAGTGTTGCAATATAGTTTCTGTGTAATTATTTTGGGTCTGGGCAGCCAGGAAACTAATGAGCAACCTCCATCTACAGTACATTACTTATATATTTTCACAATCTATAAATGGAAAATAATTATGTCCAGAATCAACAAAATTACAACTACTATTTAATCATAATGACTTAAGTGATAATAAATAATATATTTAGTTTTAAAAGTAGGCTGTTAAAAGGTAGATAATTTGGGGGTAAAATAAATAAATTTTCACATGTGAGAAGAACAGATACTAGCCAGAGCTGGGGCTGAGAATAACTAAGCTGATAAAATGCCTTCTTAGCATGAAAGAGGCCTGAAGTTCAGCTTGCAGCCTAATGTATACACCTGCAATACCAGCATTCAGGAAGTATAGAGGCAAGTGGACCAGAAGCTCAAAATCTTCCTCACCTCAGCTGTGTAGCGAATGCTAGGCCAGCCTCAGTGTATTCAGTGCACTAGTCAGGGTTCTCCACTGAGAAACTGAGAAAATGAATAAGGTGAGAGGGGAGAGACAGGGAGAGAGGCCGTGGTCTGAGAAGTCTAACAATGGCTATCTCCTGATATGGAACTGGAGTCCAAGGGGGTTACTAAAGAGCTGCTGGCCTTCAGTCTATGTTGAAATCCCAAAGAATACTGGTGAAAGGGTGCCTCAGCAAAGAGAGGGCAAGCAAGCAAAAAGCAAAAGTTTCCATCTTCCATGTCCTTTTATGTGGGCTGCCACCAGATGGTGTGGCCCAGATTTAGAATGGATCTTTCCACAACACATGATCCAATCAAGAAAATCCCACAGGCATGCCCAGCTGCTTGAGTTTTAGTTGATTCCAGATGTAGTCAAATTTGACAACCAAGATGAGCCATCACACTCAGAAACAAGAGTGGTGTGTGTGTGTGTGTGTGTGTGTGTGTGTGTGTGAGAGAGAGAGAGAGAGAGAGAGAGAGAGAGAGAGAGAGAGAGAGAGAGAGAGAGAGAGAGAGAGAGAGAGAGAGAGCTATCAGGTGCCAAGGTTAGATTATAATATTATAATTATAATATAATATATAATTATAATATTATAATTATAATAGTTTGAACTGACAGTTTACCCACAAATATATGTTTGATGCTATTTGCTAGTGATGATATTTGCAAATAAAACCTTTAGAAAGAAAGAAAGAGCCTAAAGCTGGGTGGATGTGATATGGGGAAGAATTGAGAGGAACTGGGAGAGGGAAAACAATCAAAATACATTGAATGAAAAAAAATTAACTATAAATAAAAAATGTAACCATCGAAGACAAAATGATACAGGACTAGTTTGACCTTCCATTTTTATTGACAGGACCCTCATTTTTCTGAAAGTGGGTCTTACTATGTTGCCTAGGCCAGCCTTGAACTTGTGATGCTCCCATCCCAATCTCATTAGGATTACAGGTATGTGTGACCAGACCCAAGTGCTGGTGTCCTTTTGAAAAGAATTCCTTGAGAGATGAGGTACCTTACACACACGCAGATCTAAGTTCAGTCCCCAGCACCCATGTAAGACTATCAAGCATGGTGATGCTCACTTGCAATCCCAGTGCTGTAAGAGGCTAAAGCAGACAGGTCCCTGCGGATTGCAAGACAGCCGGCCTAGCCTAGTTGGTAAGCTTCAGGTATTGAAAACACCTGTCTCAAAGGCCTTTCTGAATAACAGCAGGGGTTGTCTTCTGGCTTCCACATTCATACAGAAGCAGCCACTAACACATGCATAAATCTTGCAACTGTGCATTAAAAAAGAATGCCTTGAGAAATGTGATACACCTACAAAGAATCCACGCAAAGAGGAGAGACTGGGATAATAAAATTTAGTTTTTCTGGCTCCAGCTTATTTCACTTGATAGTTTCCATTTCCATCCATTTCCAGCAAATGACATAATTTCGTTCTTTACATCCAAATAAAATCCTATGTGCATATGTACCAGATTTTAACCATTCATCTGATGGGGGAGGTGGTATCGAGGCTCCTCCATATCCTAGCTATGGTGATTAACAATATCCAAACAGTAAACATGGGTGTGTAGGCATCTCTCTGGTATGATAGCTTTGATTCCTTTGTGTATATGCTAACGCATGGCAAAATTAGATCATATATTAGTTCAACTTTCTGGTTTCTGAGGCCCCTTCATACTAAGTTCCACATTGGCTACAACAGTTTACACTCAGACCATCAATGTGTAAGGAATTCTCCTCCCCTGTATCCACACTAGCTTTTCTTTTTTTTTTTTTAAAGCTGCTGTAGGAGCAAGTTTTTTTTTAATATTTATTTATTTATTATGTATACAATATTCTGTCTGTGTGTATGCCTGCAGGCCAGAAGAGGGCGCCAGACCTCTTTACAGATGGTTGTGAGCCACCATGTGGTTGCTGGGAATTGAACTCAGGACCTTTGGAAGAGCAGGCAATACTCTTAACCACTGAGCCATCTCTCCAGCCCCCACACTAGCTTTTCAACTCACATTTTCTTCACAATAGTTATTGTGTTTCCCTCAGTATCTGGACAAGATCATCAACCCATAGTGTTTCCAGAGAGGCTGAATCCTCTAGCCAGGGAGAAATGGCATCTGGTCTTAGAGAAACACTCAGTAGCTCTAGAGAGCTCTAGGCCTCTAATGAATAGCATATCGGTTGATAGAGGGCAAAGCAAAGAACGAAACCCCAACAGACTTGGAGGCATCTTACAAGGCACTCCAGAAACTCACCTTAGTTGTGTTCTCTTGTTCGTTTCACCCAGTTAGCAGACCCAGAGCTCTTCAGTGTCCCTTCTGTTCCTCACTGCGCAACAACAAAATGACCCATAGTCATCTGCCCGAGCTACCTGTGGATGAAGGAATACAGAGAGGCATGTCACCTCCCATTCACCTCTAAGTTTTCTATTTGCTTTTCTAAAAGAAAGCATGAATGAAGGAGGTAGATATGGTTTGTTCAGCTCCCACATAGACACAGTAGTCAAGGAAACAACATAGGCATCACTTGCTCAGTGGGTGTAGGGGTTTATAGACTACATTTCTTGGATTCTCAAAGTAAAACTGTCCACCTGGGGGAAATTGCCACAGAGATGAAAAGCTGGATTCTTGTCACCACCCCTCCCCCAGCTTCCTTCAGCATTGCCTCATGCAAGACGACTCCTATCAGGACTTGGGCAGTCTAAAGAGCATTTGTGACGTAGGTATTAGCACAGATAGGGGCATGGTAAGTGGTGAGCATTCATTTCCAAGATGTTTATTACAAAGTTAGCTGTGTTTGACCTTGAAGAGAAGCGGCAACGATGGTTCTTGCTTTGGACACCTCTCACTTGGCATCTTGACCAAGGAATACATGGCATCTGTGGGCACAGACACAGCACTGAGGTGATGTGGGATTTCCCTGTATGCTGTGAATACCATTGGTTAATAAAGAACTGTCTTGGGCCTGCACAGAGCAAAACTTAGTAAGGTGGGGGAAAACTAAGCTGAATGCTGGGAGATAGGAGGTGGAGTCAGGGAGAAGCCATGTAGCCCCACCGGAGAAAGACGCAGGATGGAACCTTACCCAGTAAGCCACAGCCACATGGTGATACACAGATTAATAGAAATGGGTTAAGAGTTAGCCACTAAGAAGCTAGAGCTAATGAGCCAAGCACTGTTTGAAATAATATAGTTTCAGTGTGATTATTTGGGGGCTGAGAAGCTGGGAACCAACAAGCAGCCTCCCTACCACAACACTGAGGAGCTACACAGGGACCAGTACAGGCTGATTTTGACAGTGAGTCTACATACACTGGTCTCCTTATTTTTTTAAAAAAATTGTTTTTTATTTATTTACATGTATGTGCATATGCATGCAGGTACATATGAAGGCCAGAAGAGGGCATCAAATCCCTTTGGAGTTGGAGTTACAAGCAGTTGTGAGTGCCTGATAAGGGTGATGAGCAGAGCAGCCACTGCTCTTAACTGCTGAGTCTTCCCTCTAACCCAGTTTTCCATATTTATAACCTGTTCTCTTCGCAATGGGTTCCAGGCAGGCTTCCTAGCAACTCTGTGAAACGGCTAGGTCCTTTACATGTTACCTGGCCCAGAAATGACTTCTTTGGAATAATGTTCTTTTATCTGGGTAACTGATCATGTGAAGGGCTCCAAAGAATCATTCCACAGCCAACAACCACTACAGATGGAAGTCATTATTGCATTAAATGCTTGATGTTCCTTGAACATTAAGGTAACATAGGTTGTTTTCATATATATGTGTTCGTGTCTGTATGTAGATACACATATATGTGTACATTATACACATATGTACATATATATGTAATGTATATATATGTATGTATACACACATACACTTAAATGGTTACTGTGCTTAAGCCGACCAGCAGAGCCATGATCAAAGTGGCTCAGAGTCCCCTTCCAGACCCACCCTCAGCACCTGAAGCAGTGTCTCCACTGGAGCTGCCCTTTTCAAACTCCATCTCTGAGAAAGCCTGCCAAAAGTCAGCCTTGGGGCTGTTCAAGACCACGCCTATAAGCTACTTAAGGCTTGGTAGCCATATTTGCCATGTGATTCCTCTTGAACCCTCCTGAGGGTCACCCAGGAGTGCTTTGCTCAGGTTATACCTGGTTTTATTAATTTGGTTATTTATTTATTTACTTATCTTGGTTTTTCGAGACAGGGTTTCTCTGTGGCTTTGGAGCCTGTCCTGGAACTAGCTCTGTAGACCAGGCTGGTCTCGAACTCACAGAGATCCGCCTGCCTCTGCCTCCTGAGTGCTGGGATTAAAGGCGTGCGTCACCACCGCCTGGTTTATTAATTTGGTTTGATTGGCTTATTACATCAGCAGTGGTGGCAGAATCCCATTAACCAGGGATTTAAAACTTATCACAAAGGAACCTCTCTATTTCTCTGTCTGTCTGTGACTTCCCCTCCCCTCCCTCTCCTGAATCCATCAGATATACCCTTGTTAGGAAGTCATATCTGTACCTTTGTTCTAATCTCTAAACTACCACAGACACACTCAGACTAGGCAAAGCTTTCACCATTATCTCTGAGGAAACCTGCCAATCTTATCTTTGATGTGATGAGGTGGCCCCTGATCAGCTTCGGAGCACACTGCTTGTCCTTCATCAGAGAAGGCTCTGTCGCCAGGGAACTGCCATCATCAACACTGGGTGAGTGCTTTTATATCCCACTCTCCTCTGCAATAGATGTGCTTCCCAATGAGTGAACTGATCCATGTGACTAGGTGACGAACCCTCTTCCTCCCTCAGTCCAATCAGGGACTGTGGCGTGGCTTGCGTTTTCTCCAGGCTGAACAGTGGTTGTTTTACTATGGAGCCATAAATGAGCAAGGTGCTTCCTGCCACAGACGAAAGACCAGGTCCTGGTGCATACCAATATGTTGAATTCCTAACTGAAAGCAAGGTATACAGATGGGTGATATTTGTTTTCTCCTGCTCCTGGATACTTGGATCTGCTACATAAATGCCAACTCACTGTGAATAACTCAAATGTCATTTTACATAACCTAAACTGAAGCATATACATGATTTCTCTCACTGTCATTTCCTCTTTAAAAGTTCCCTTATAACCAGATGTGCCCACCAAAGACACTAGGAAATTCAGTTACAAAGTTCAGAAAATGTCCTGGGCTCCGGTCTTCTTTCACAGACGGCATTGCTGAGATTCAAGAAATCTTGAACTTTGTGAGTTGAAGACTGAGCATGTTCAGTTGAGAGGGGAACTTAAGTCCAGAAGATGGTTCTATGCTGAGATTTTCTGAAATCCAAAAGACTAATAGACACGATGTCTTAGTTAGGGTTTCCATTGCTGTGATGAAACACCATGACCATAAAGTAAGTTGGCTGACACTTCCACATTGCCTTTCATCCCTGAAGGAAGTCAGGACAGAAACTTAGACAAGGCAGGCATATGGAGGCAGGAGCTGAGGCAGAGCCATGAAGGGGTGATGCTTGCTGGCTTGCTCCCCAAGGCTTGCTCAGCCTGCTTTCTTATAGAACACAGGACCACCAGCCCGGGGATGGCACCACCCACGATGGGCTGGGCCCTGCCCCATTGATCGCTAATTGAGAAGATGTCTTACAGCTGGATCTCATGGAAGCATTTCCTCAACTGAGGCTCCTTCTTCTCTGATGACTCAAGTTTGTGTCAAGTTGAAACATCAAACCAGCCAAAACAACTGACCCCTTGTCAACTTGACACACAAACACATCACTGTTAAAAACACACCCTTCCTTAGTCAGTCCAATATCTCACATTAAAAAGATAAAAGTCCTACAGTCTCAAACACCTTAACACTTCAGTTCCTTTAAAATAAGGTCTGGAAAGTTGCATAGTGAGTCCATCAATAAGCTAGGATCACCAACAATAGCCATGATCTTCCTTCCCTTCTCAAACTGCAGCATGATGGCATTAAGAAAGTCAGAAACACAGATTCAGGAACTTCAATTCTTCTATGGAGTCATCAACAGTTGTGATGTCAACAGGGCTGGCATCCTTCTGCTGTATACATTGGACCAGACATTCCAGAAGCTATTGTGTTTCACCATCCTCCTATAAAAAAGCACAGACATGTCCTCGACGACATATTAATATAAGATGAGGTCCTTTCCATAATCCAGTGCAAGGGTCTTTCCACTTTGCTTTAGCAAGGTCACTTTGGTGCTGTCATGCCAAAATCTGTCCATAGCAGACTGCTCACGGGCATCCATATTCAAGAGATTTAGAGTAAAAAGGCGTCAGATGCACCAAATTCAGTATTTCCTCTCTACCTCCCTGAAATTGATTTCTAGTTTACACTTTTGAGAGTAAAGTTAATTGGGCAAGCCTCTGTCCTGTCTCTACCACAGAAACTCCATTAGGAGAGTGACTCATAACCTTGATTTCTCCTTCAAAATAATTACTCCCACAGTAACAAGAATCCCTTGCATAGTGGTGCTACTTCTCCCCAATAATAATCCTACAGTACCTTCAGTAAAGTCCCATAATCTCCAGCGGGGGAGAGCCTGATCCCCATTTCAGGAGTTAAAACTGTGTAGATGGAAGAGCTCAGATCGAGCCCTGCACTGCCTGAGGTTGCTCTGCAAAGTTCCTGAATGGATTTTCTTGTGGGGGAACAGACTGCTGGATAGTTCATAGATTTGCCTGGAGATCAAACTCAGGCCCTCAAGTCTGCACAGCAAGCGCCTTTACCCAGTGAGCCATCTCACGGGCACACATTGTCCTTAGTTTTAGAGCTATGTTAATAGTCTCTTTCACAAGTCACAGCTACAAATCATTTTCTCTGGTCAGTTATGTTTTTGACAATTTATTATTTGAACATATGTTAGTTTACCTATTTATTTTCTGATCTTCCTTTTCTTATTGATACCTTTATGATTTCAATCTTTGTAAACAGATTGAACTTTATTGGTGTGTTTGTGTGGCCTCTCTTGGAGACTGTTCCATGGGAACTTGAGAAAAACGTACTAATACATTGTAGTGTTTTCTGTTTAATACTTAATACATGACTCAGTTGTAATTGATTGGTACGCTATTTAAGTTCTGTCTATACTGGTGCCACATCTCATTTCAGACTTCACTCTACAGCCTTCAATTCAGATGTCTGCATCATCTGCTTGGGTCTCTACTGACAGCAGCATGCTACGTACATATTTCAGATACTTACATCTTCTCTATGGGTAAATCCTGGTGCAAGGGTACAGAAGGCTGACATCCAAATTTGACATACAGATGGGGCCAGGGATGCTTCCCTCCTCTGCTCTTCTCCATCCAGGCCCCCAAAGGATTGCCCAATGCTCCTCAAGTCAGGAAGGTCATTACAAT